TCATTTCAAAAGAATCAAGACAATTTGCGATGATTTCACTTGTTTGTATTAAAACCCTTCCCATTTTCCCTTTTATCCAGTCTTGCATAAGGATTTTTCAGAAAATCATCATGAATTGCTGTTCTGGAACAATAGATATAATATAAATAAAAATTATGTATCGATGTAATCATTTTCGCGCGTTTTCAATCCTACGGGGTTAGAAACCGGGACCCTGCCTGGATCGTCCTTGGCTCTGCCTGGATTGACCGGGGCTCTGCCTGGGTCAGCCGAGGCTCTTCCGGCGTCATCCGGGAAAGACCTGGGCTCTGCCTGGATGGTCCGGAGCGCATCCTGAGTGGTTAGTTGGGAATAACCGTAGTGCAGTGCTACAGGGGTAAGTGTGATCGCATCAATACTTTCACCACGGATCGTCCGGATCATCCCAGTAACATACCGGGTGGTTCTGGGCTCTCCCGGGAGTAAGTGAGACTGCAGCTATATCAGAGAAGGTGAACGACCAAAAACTTAAGTCTAGTCATCGTATATTTAAGAGAAGATTTAATATGTCATCCCGGTACGGAATTAAACCCAATTCTATAATATATAATATCAATTATAATTTTTTGTAAATCTTCTCTAGTATGATTGGTCATCAAAGCCTATTCATTGCATTTGTGTAATATGTGTGTGTTATAATTATGATGACTTTAATAGTTGTGTGGGGGGTGCGCGCGCGTGTGCGTTTGTGCGCGTGTGCGCGCGTACGTGTGTGTGTGTGTGTGTGTGTGTGTGTGTTCTCTTGAACCTCATTAAAAAATCTGAAAAATTAGATGGCTAACGTATCATATTTCGTGCCTCATTTTAGTTAGATAGTGTTAATGTTTAAAGTTGAAGACAGTATATAATTCGTTAAGAACAGTGGAATAGAGGACTACGCCTCAAATGTAACTGATTTTTACTAAAATATAACAATGCCGATACTTTAATGGCCAAAACGAGGTTTTTCATATATCAAAGAAGATTAAAGCTATACATCCTGGACATACTGCTTTATCACTTTACAGCAAGATTTTTCGTTTTGTTTTAAAACAATGCATAATGCATTTGCTGAACGCATATGAATACAATTATACAATTTTGATAAACATTTCTGTGTTTCTATTGTGTTCTTCTTTTAAAGTGAAATGGTCTATAATAGAAGGTCTATAAACCCATATACATGTATAATAATGCTGTTAGTACATTTAGTATCATATGTGACATCAAATTAGGGAAGAAATATACCCTATATATAGATGTTGTTGGTAAGTTTGAGAAACATGATCGTATATCTACGTGTATGTACAGTAGATAATTAAATGTTCTAGTAAAAGCTTTATTAACATTTATCAAGAACTATTTATACAGATATCCAAATGTTAGATTTCTATTGTTTTTATCAATATTTGAAATTAAGGGTTTTGTGAAAACTGTGCCTGTTATAAACCAATAAACTTAAAAATTAAAAAAAAATTGGTTATGCTATATACTTGTATCTTTATTTCAATACATATATATCTGTTCTTTTTCTATTTATTTTAGCGCAGTGAACGTTCTTACAATGTACATTAAAAGCCGAGACAATTCCCATGTAAGAGATATACAATTTGTGTCAAGCGAAACACGACATTACAGGACAGTAATAACTGTTCGTCACTTCCAGATGTAAATGTGTCTGATAAAATTTACATACGCGTCTCTTGTTTCATTTTCTATAATTTGATGTATGATGTCGGAGTTTTATTTGACGTTGCGAAATGCGACGAACAATATACATGACTTACATATTTGATGATAACCATTATAAAATATTCTTCATGCACTCCCATACAATGTTAAGTTTTTAAGAAGAAACCTGTGAGAAACTTATTTTAGTCTGAGTCTGAAAATAGTAGTATACTTTAACGTTTGTATATAACATAAATAGATCAAGCCCTGCAAAGTGCACTACCGCTCTGACAAAATATATACGTGGGTAATATTTTAATAAGTGGCCAACCACTTAAGCGTTTTTAAAAATAAGACATACCTGAGAAAATTGATCAGTAGAGTCCATCAAAATATTCACCATGGACCACTACACACTTTTTCCAGCCTCAGAAAATCTACTTCGAACTGTTCTTTTGGGAATACTGTTTATACACTGGTAGACAACATTAGCAACTGACCTTCCCTTAAAACTGTTTATACACTGTTAGAGAGTGATTCGCGACGGCACTACGGGTTTCGAACCGTCGACCGCGAAGGCAAGATTTGATGTATACATAGGTTTAACCAAATTCACAAGGAGATACGTCAGATCTAGAAGCGGCTATGGCAAACCTCATTTCTCCGCTCTTCCAGATTGGCTTGAACCTAGACTGACCGGTGAACAGATGCATTATGATGGAGTAATTTGATCCTGCGCATCCCGGACCTTTATTTCTTTGTAATGTAGTGATTAACTACAACAATGACAACATGGCCACGGTAAAATGAAATGTTCCAGTGACACTACTCTCTCAGGCACAGCGACAAGGGCCGTTATAGTCCATCGACGAACATAACTCTTTTAACGCTCCTGCTACGTCGAGAAAAAGCGAGGCGATCGCTGTATTCACGTTACTGAGTTTATTGTGGGGTTCAAAAAGATAAAGCCATGTTTCATCCATGTGACAATTTTTGCTCAGGTGTCTAGGGTTTCGAGCTTTGAACGTAGTCAATAAGGCCAAGGCTTTTTTCAAACTACTCCATTTTCTTGTAAGAAGTAAGCAAAAGCGGGATTCAACGGGCGCACACTTTCCTTTACTTAAACTTTTCTTTCAAGATGGAAAACACATATGACGCACAAAGGCCCAATATGTCACTTTATAACTAAATCTACCTTCGTTTTTATTTCTGTCGCCCATTCACCTAATAACCCACGAACTTTGCAACAGGCTTTTTGCTCCTCTCTCAAATCACTGCAGCTCAGCCATGTTTACAACCAGTACGCAAAACCACATGTATTTAAATAACCTGATAAAATTTTATTGCACGTGCAAATCGTGCGAAAAAAGACTGTTGGTTAGAAATATCAATCATATTTCCAACGGTATATTATACATGAAATTTCACGTGCAAATCATGGTTGAATTAAAATTGTTGCCCACTAACTAAAATATGCCCGTCGTATGACATTAAAATTTAATCTCAAAAGAAAGAATAGAGAACAGATATTTTTAAAAAAATAAATTTACTTATTTATATTTTCCTTACAATGAATTAATTAATTTACTTATTTATTAATTAATTTATTTATTTATTTATTTTTTATTCATTTATTTATTTTATTTTATTTTTATTTATTTATTTATTCATTCATTTATTTATTTATATTGATTTATTAAATTATTCATTCATTCATTCATTTCATTCATGCATTCATTTTTATTTTCGTTTATTTTGTCTATCATTTTATTCATTTATTTTTTTATTTGGAAGCGTACTGCCATAAAGTATCTGTCAGTTGTTTTAATTCTAAAAGATTTTCTAGATCATATCTAAAGGCCAAAACAAACGGTATCAGATGTTGAAAGAGATTGGTGGATTTGATCGTTAAACCCGCAATCTAACAAAATTGGATGAAGATTAGTTATTTGTTTGCTTTTCTGGTCAACGCCACTCATCTATCAGAAGATAGTGATGTATATTATAACCTATCGATTCCTTACTTATGCCATGATCTTTACAAGGCCAAGTATACTCAATAATTTTTTTCTTTGTTTTTTTTTGTTGTTTCTTTTTTTTTCTTGTTTATATTTTCCTTTCAATTTAAATTTAAGTTTAGATTTATCAACAAACATCTGTTTTTGATATTTATCATTATATTTATGCCGATTGCTGATTGAAGATCGATTGATTGTTAAATTTAAAGTTAAGATTTGAAAGTTCTTACATAGAAAACATTAATGTTTCCGATTTTTTATTTTCATATCATATTTTCACAGAGCGCCCGCTTTTCTATTTCTTTAGCCTTAACCTCTAGGTCTGTAAGTGTTAAATAAATATGAAATATTTGACTGTTGGACACTTTCAATACAACGAATAAACAAGACATTGGACATAATCATGATAATGATAGAAAGATATACGCTGGTCGGTTACTTACTTTTTATTTGTAAGTCATTTTATCATTATAACAATTTGTGTTACATATTTATATCTATTTCAATATTGTATCTGTTTCAAATACATGTACCGGAGGTTCTTAGTCGCAAGTAATAAAAGTACATTTAATTCAATATTATATTAATTCACGGCTTCAAAAATCTTTTTAAATTTTACTTACAATGTATTTCAATTTCAGTTTTCATTGAAATATTTTGATAAGATAAGTGGCATACGTTTTCTGGAAAGGGCTTAAATTATCTAATGTTGCTAGACCTTTTTTTCCCAATTCAATTTGCTTTTTGTTATATACGTATCATCTGCATAATATCTGTCATGTATTTATGCAATAAAATATATTTACAATAAATACATTTTGACACATTACTGAAGATCTAGATCAAATATTTAATATGCATTTTTAAGTTAAAAACGAATATGTATTTGTAATTAGCCCACTGGTTGCAACTGATTCCATCCATACCACCAATCGAATTATGATTAGCCGGTATTTCCGTCGTGATTATCATGGTATGCAGTGTTCGGTTGTCTGTCAGCATACCGTATATCAGTTGTTTTTTGCGATAACCTAATTTTCGCTTTATTCACGTGCACTGAATATCGTGAAAAAAAGATTCGCTAATTTTTACTTCAATTTGATACTCGCAACGAATTCTCTTGTTTCTGTAACTTGACTTCCTATTTCAAATTTTCCAAAAGTCGTATATACATTTTTGAAAATCCCCCTACTCTGACGAATGGTTTTGCCCATATTGAAATATGGACAAGTCCATTCGATATTTTTTTCGGGCGGTAAGAGTTAAATAATGATTATTTCTACTTAGATCTGACTTGTGTGACGTCAGCAAGAGTTCTGAATGATATGTGTATCCGTGAAGGCGGCACGTGTGTTGGCTCGCAAGCAGCTTGTACAGGATGGGTAGAGCCGCATGATCTGAGTTGTAGTCAGGGTGTATGCTGCAAACCAAAACCCTCTACAGCGAACCCAGAACCGGCCAGTCCAAGTAAGTCTCTTTGTAAAATAAATGAAAATACAAAATATTTATAAAATAAAAATTAGAAATAGTGCTGTGAATGCACTTTATTTCGTGGACATGAAACATCGTGGTTTTGTCACAAAGAACATTTTCGATGGTACATACATTCGTGAACTGTTTATTAATGTTAATAATGTGATACAAAGTAATCTTACAGCAGACAAAATGAAATTCGTTTGATAATAAATTCGTGGATTGGCATGTCCACGAAAATTAGTGTGTCACGAAAAATAACGAGTTTGCAGTTATACATATTATGCTACGTTGTTTGTTTAATGTGAGGATTTGTTGATTTTTTGTATTTTAGACTTACCACTATTTACTTAAGGACTGATGATATGGTGCATAAACTAAATAAACTAAGAAAGACACACTCCGAGCTGGCAGTGTGAACCTTCGTAAAGTACATAAGTGAATACACGTATATAAGTTTGTTGTTTTTGATGTTCTCAAAATTTTTGAATTATAATGAATAATAATCAAAAGTTAAGTATTACTTCAGATAATGATACATGTGGAATAATCACACGAGTGACAACACCAAATCGTCTGCTTCGGATAGTGGGCGGGGACGCTGCATTAGAAGGGGCTTGGCCATGGCAGGTGGCCCTTGTCGACCGCTTTGGAGACATCTTCTGTGGAGGAACGCTGGTTACTACTGAATTTGTTGTGACTGCTGCACACTGTTTTGTGTCGTAAGTTTTTTGTTTTTGTTTATCAAGGTAACACAGAGGACATCCTTGTTTCTTTTCTGTTTATACTGTTGTTAGTCGTTAACATGTACAACAAAACTACAAAAAATCAGATAGTTCCTCTAGTGTGGATTTTCAAATGTAGGTTACGCAGACAACAAATGCATCTGTATTGTTACAGATATAATGGTCAATATATAATGGGCTTTTAACGTGCCTATACGAAGCCCTACCTAAGAAAGAAATGCTCGGCAGTCGATATATACTGTATACATTTAGCTTTTAAGAAATCTTAAAAAATTCTACATTACAGCTTCAGACTTTTTTCACAATATCATATTTTTCACAGTAATTTTACATTTGTATTTCTTCTAAAATATATTCAGATCGACTTTAAAACAAGCTACTGTGAATCCATTTAATTTTATGGACATGAAATTTCGTGGTTTTGTCATAAAGACTGTTTTCGTGGGTTGTTTATCTTTCCAAAAGATAAAATGTAATAATATGATACAGCAATTTCGTTGGATCTAAGATTCGTGGATTGACTTATACACGAAAACCACGAAAATTAGTGCCTCATGAATAAAAACGAGTTATCAGTATATGGACTGTATTTAATACGTATTATTTTTAACCCTACCCCATGAATATCTTAAATAGACTCGTCCATCTTTCAACCTGGACAAGACCATTCATCTTTTTTGGTAAAAAAAAATATGAGCCGTGTCACGACAAAACCAACATAATGGGTTTGCGACTAGCATGGATCCAGACCAGCCTGCGCATCCGCGCAGTCCGATCAGGATCCTTGCTGTACGCTATCAGTTTCTCTACTTGTAATAGGGTCGGCAAGCGCACAGCACGGATCCTGCTCAGACTGCGCGGATGCGCAGGCTGGTCTGCATCCATGCTGGTCGCAAACCCATTATGTTGGTTTTGTCATGACGCGGCTCATATGTACTGTCTTCTTTCGTCTTTTAAAGTTACGCGGAAGGAGACTTTGAGATAGTACTTGGAGAGCATCATCTTGTCTATCAAACCGGAAATGAAATAAGACGCAAGGCAAAGGTTATAATTAAGGTGAGAGGGAGTCTACTCTAGGACGATATATTTCAAATACTTACACATGTTACAGAGTGCATTCTTAATCATGACCTCAATTATACAGTTGTCAAAGAAATGATTTTAAGGGGTTAAATCTATATACATTATATGTTAAAGGCCCATTAGGCCTCAGAAATGATATCATTTTTATTTCTCTTAAACTTTCTATTTTTGGTACCTTGTTAAAGAAAACTCAATTGCCCACATATATGAACAATCATTTATTTCTTTTGCTCTGGTGGCATTGGGTAAAATCATAGTGAATGGAAGTCAAAATACTACTTTGTTTACGTTTACTTTTACCATACATTAGTGGACATTCCGCGCAACTTTCTTCAGTTGTTTGACATCTAATACGCTCTAAATCAATTATTAAAACATTATTAAACACATGTCTGACATTTCTAAAGAATAAAAAATAAGAAATTCTGATGCATAATGTGCCTTTTACAATTATGTTTACAAAGCGTAAATTTTCTATGATAAACCTATTTACATTTTCGTTATGAGATTTCTCAGAAAGGATTAATATAATTCAAGGACGGATATTTCTCGGAAATATTTTTGACAGACAAAATTATTTTGATTATTCTATGATTGAATACCAATAATAATTTCATGATTAAAATCTTAAACTTTTTTCTTCTCAAAAGTGATCTGAGAGACACAAATAATGTTCAAAGAAAAAAAATAAAGAAAAAAAATTGCCTCTTCTGGGGCTCGAACCCACGCCCCTCAGTTACAATGCAGTTGACAGTAATTCTAGCCTATTTTAATACTCTTCAAAGTGGAGATAATGCATTAGGTGGATCATACCTTAATATTTAATTGATATTTATTGTCAATTTATCATGTTTTCCATTTGTATTTTCTGTTGTTTTTTCTCTGTAATAAGCATTCCGGTTACACGACCGCCAACAATGCAGACGACGTAGCGTTTATCCAGCTCGACACACCGGTTGATATTTCCGGTCACTACATTCGCACCGCTTGCCTTCCGGAACAGGCTCAACTCTGGACAATCACGGATGAGTGCTATGTTTCAGGCTGGGGTTATACACGAAGTAAAAATGTTTTGCAATGCTTTTCTTATAATTCTATTTTAGCAACAACATCTTATTTTTCTCAATGACGCATATAATGGTCTCATTGAACTCCCGGGCATCAAAATAGTATCATCACAAAAATCGACTTGCATACGTATTTTGTATCATTCAGTGAATTACTGAATATAAAATTTATAAGTTACCGTTTAATAGATAATAGAACAGTATTTTGACTTTCATACAAAATACTAATTCACTATGATAATACCAATTGCCAATAGAGCTAAGAAAGCAAACGTTAGTTTATCTATGTGGCAGATAAGTATTTCTTTTGAAACGCCATCAATAAAAAGTTTTTGAGAAATAAAAATGAAAGCATATCTTAGGCATAATGGGCCTTTAAACTTTTATACAAAAATATCAGTTTTTGCTTTTTAATCAAGCATTTATTTATTACAGGTATAGATTCAGACGATCGTCATCTGCATCATTTGAAGGTGAACATTGTCTCGAACTCGGACTGTGCTGCAGGTTGGGGTGTTCATGCCAACATCACAGATAATCAAATATGTGCTGGTACAGGCACCTCAGGAACCTGCCAGGTAAATTTCGTACTCAATTGAGAGGTTATTAGACCTCTCTACATTTCTGGCAGCATCCATTTTTTGTGTATCAAGTTGAAGTTAATGAATCTCATTTAAAGCTTAAAATAATTTGAACCAGTCTATAAAAAAAATTATGCGCATGCTCCGCTTCGCTTCAAACTAAGACCTTACTTAAACTTACTATTACTATTTACTATTCCATGTCCCGAAAACTAACAGTAAACACCATATAGCTATAATATCACAAAGCACGATTATATGACCGAGTGAACCAAAATGTTACTGCTCCTTTAACTTCGGAATACCTCACACATTATTCATAATTAGAGCTTATCCGCAGACTAATGGAATTAGCCGTTATGTTGCTATGGTTCGCAAGTCAAAAATTCTTATTTTCCCGCAAATTGAACAATAAAACATATCTTCCATGGCTACAAAAAAACCTATCGCATGCTTGATTTTAAAGAAATAACCTTGTTTTATATAACCTATAATACTCAAATTAACGACAGAGCAAGTGGCTAACCATACAATCAATAACGATATCGGAAAAAAAAACCAAATTCACAAATCACTTTGTCTTGAAACACATTCGGGATACTTTTCTCCAAGGATTTACCTTTCTTTACGTTTTGATTGCCTTTCAAATACTTTAATTCTAGCGGCTAAATTATTGGCCACAATCACAGACTGAATCTAGCAATTGCAGACGGACCAGAACTTAAACCGTTGGTTGATCAACAGTAGTATTTTGATATTAAAATAACTTTTCAGAAGTTTAAATAACTCTTACATATGTTTCCCACTGTTTAGTACTGCTTCTTTTTTGTTGTTGTTGTTGTTTTTGTTTTGTTTTGTTTTTTCCTATTTTGACTTTTGCGTACCTGTCGCAACATTTAGTTCACTTCCGGAAAGTAAAACCAAAAATAAGTACGGCACAGAGAAGCTCTTTATCTACACATAAACGAAAAGTTAAACGTCATTTCGTAAGAATCAAGTTTGTGAAAACAAATGCTCAAGCCTGTTTGTTCATTTTCTATGTAAGAAATTCAATGTTTCCGACATGTATTCCTTCTCATGAAATACGATTTAAACAAACGCAACATAAAACTGATTGGTGCAGTTATTAAACAAAAACAGTTTTGATAAAAGAGGAAAATGTCATGTGACTGATTGCGTCATGGAATGCCATGATTTGTTTCATTTTTTACATTTCTTTTTAGGGTAAATTTGCTGTTGTAGCGAAATAATTCATTACTTTTCTTGAGAGATAGTGCCCTAGAAATTATTTTAATTGTTTTTTGGGTTTTTTTTTATTTTATTACATTAAATGTAAGTGGTTCTAAGAAGCTGACGTTTCTCAAAGACATGTTTAATTGAAAAGTTTATCAATCTCTTATGTCGTGAAATTAATTGCAACAATGTATAGAACGCTATTATTCTTGAATAAATAAGCCCACGCATGTGTGCATTAACGGAGATGAAAATGCATCGTCGGATATAATCACGCAAACATGGGCCGTTGTTGCATGTCATTTCAATACATATTGCTCATGGCACCGTATAAAAATAGCTGACCCAGGTTTTTTTATTATCAAAACATAACTGTCAAATGGCACCGCACTCGCACGCGAGAACACGGGGATCGGGGGGAGGGGGGTAGGGTGAACCCCATATTGATATCAAAATTGAGGCATCGTAAAATATATGTGAATTTCCGCTGATCCAGATATGCACTATAACACCATGTGTGAAAGAGCAATTACTAGGTCAATCACAAAGTAAGTTTTCAATTTTTCAAAGATTTAAACATGATGAAGACTTTTGAGTTGAAACGTTGTATATTTTTCAAATAAAAAAATACATTTTGAAAATGAAACTGGAGTTGATGTCTATATTCAAACTTAAATTAATTCAAAGTTTTTTTTTAACAAAATCAGAATCTGAATCTAGCCTCCTGACTTTTCTGTATATATTTGCCCATTTGTATATAGGAGCCGCGTCACGGCATCCGCGCAGTCTGATCAGGATCCATGCTGTTCGCTATCAGTTTCTCTACTTGTTATAGGGTTTGTAAGCGAACAGCATGTATCCTGATCAGACTGATTATAAAGATAAACATCTCTTCAAGATTCCACAAGTGTATTTGATATATTTTCACTCACAGTCACAAATATTTTTTATTGAAAGTGAAGAATCATGAACATAAAGCTATTTATAATTTTTACAGCAAACTAATATTATTTCTTACTGTTCTATCCAGGGACGCAAATAATGCACAAGAGTATGTTTCAATGGACTTTATTAGTGAAAATAAAATTCAGAAACATTTTTATGACAATAATATATAAGAAATTAATTCGATGCTTAAGCAGAACATGTACACTAACGAAAAACATGAAAAACAAACAAGCAAAGCAAAGCAAAGCAAAACAAAAACAAAACATAACACACAAAAATGACAAAAAAGGACACACACACTCACACAACAGTACGAAGGAAAATTAAAACACAAATAACAAACAACAACAAAACAAGTAAACAAACAAAAACAAACAATCAAAAACCACACGCGTTGTTTCTTTCCTCTTCTTGTACTCTGAAATTTAGGGAAAAAACTGAATGAGCATGTAGTAACAAAGGGCTTATTGCTCAAAAGAAACAATCAGAATAAATTATAAATTTAATTTTGTATATTTTGAGGCATACTCAGATTGTTATCGTTACCGAGTAGTTTAAATATAATTATATCACTTGATCTTTAGAGCGAGGATAGAATACTTATTTAATTCACCATGGTTACGACAGTGGGCATACATGTACAAAGAACGACGTTTAAATTCAGCCTCTGACATTAGTAAGGTTTCGTTTAATATATTTTAAATAATATTGCAGAAGGCATAACGCAGTGTCCTTACTTTAACTTTTAACATGTCAAACTATTTCAACATTGGATTTACTATAAATAATATTAATTTTCTGAATCTTACCTTACACGCTTACGGGTGGAAGGCCGTCATCAATGACGTCATATCCGGTTATGCCAAATGCTTCTGTAAAATTCAATGTATCAATAACTTTTGTAAATTACACACTGAAGTGTTATACATAGCATTTATTAAAATCATAGCCTGAAAAAAAATTCTCTTGGTCGACTCTATACCTATATTGTTTCATATAATATGACAATTTCGAAGTTATCTTTTTCGTTTGAACTAAGTATTGTACTGATAAATATTATTTGGTCAAGGATTTGTCATAAAATATTAAAGGAACTCTTCTGGTACAAATGCCGAAAGCATGAACTTTGAATTTCTTTCAAAGATCAACTTTGGCATTTAAAACAATAAAATATGCAAAAGATAGTTAAGAAATGTACCTAGAAATAAATAGAAAGTCGTATTTCTTTGCTTTTCTTACCCAAATTTGAGTGCAATGCTTTTCGATTTTGGTCATTTTTCACAAGTAAAATAATTATTCAAGAAAAACGGTATGAGCAAATAATGTGAAATTTTGCACACGAATTATTGCTCAATACTTGTAAACAGCAAAAGGAACATTAATCTCAAAAATTTATTTCCAGTCCCGTCATGTCAGAAAACCGCAGTGGAGTCCCTTTAAACAAAAATTCTTACCCTTATATTCTTTGATAGTTCTAGGAGCTCTTGTTGCAGATTGGTTAATGTCGGCATCTATCACAATATTTGACAGACTCTCCGTGACAACCATATCAGCAATTCCTGTCAAAATAATTATGTCATAATTATAATTAATTGCCAAGAAATACCACGTCAGATTTGAGACTGGATTATCTGCTCCTTACACTAATGGTTTCTAAACATGAATGAGCCCTCGTAGAAATAATCTAAGAACTAGCCTAATTCTGTATTTATCAATGAAGTTTTGTAAAGGGATCCATGTCACATGTACAAGTAACTGTAGAAAATGTGATGTACATTAAACATATAAAAACATTGTATGTATCGTGCACTCGACACGTTCTTCAACGGCTTAAGTACATGTTAGTAGAACAGCGGAGACTTTTAAGATTTTCAAGCCTTTGCATATGCCCCGACAGAAGGTAAAAGCCGCCCGTCGCCATGTCTTTGACATATTTTCGGTCAACTTGGCTCAAAATCATAACTACTGCATTAAACTGGCAGTGCGGTGACAGGCAAAATGTAATAAATAGGCTCACTTCCCACACCCCTCCCAGCACGGACATTGTTACAATTGATTTATGCATCAACCAAATTACTTACGGCTGATGATACTAGAGGACAGTGAAATGTTGTCGTCTGCTGGTCTCACTGTTACGGTCGTTGTGTTGCTAGGTAACTCCTGTCTCAGGGTGTCGGCTGCCTTGTCTATGATACATGTCACGTATTCTGCAACTAGAAAAGGGGGAAACGATTTTTAATATCGTTACGCTTTATTTAATGTGATTTAGACATAGTGTCCAACAATACAACATTACTTAAAGGCACACTATGTCTCAGAAATAAATAAATAATTTCTTCTGTAGAAAAAGAACACGATTATATTATGTTGTAATACTAGTTTTAGATCTTGTAAGATGCTTAATACATAGAGAGTATTACCGGAAGTGAAATAATTTGCTACAAATGTAGCAAAATGAAAACAAAGTGGAATTTTGACTTTCTTACAAAATAATGACTTATACGAGTACAAAAAGCAAAACTGCAAAGGATGACTCTCAGAATAAGGCAAGTTAGTACTTTAAAAGATGTAACATTTTCTGGCTTGATATGCCTTTAATAGGAGATATTGTTCTTGTTTTCGTACATAGTATCAGTTATGAATGTGATGATTAATTTTATTTAAAGTACATGTACATTATCGGTAACGAATGCAACATTTAACAAAATGCTGAGCCGCGTGACGAAAAAATCAACATAATGGGTTTGAGACCAGCATGTATCCAGACCAGCCTGCGCATCCGCGCAGTCTGATCAGGATCCATGCTGTTCGGCATCAGTTTCTTTACTTGTTATAGGGTCTGTAAGCGAACAGCATGGATCCTGATCAGGCTGGTCTGGATCCATGGTAGTCGCAAACCCATTATGTTGGTTTTGTCGTGACACGGCTCATATAGTCTTTATTGTAGCTATTATGAGTTAAAAATCGAATTTTCCGGCGATGTGACCAAATTTTGAATGATCTTGTTTTTCTTTCTTTTTTTGGGGGGGGGGGGGGGGGGGTGATATTTAAGATATGAAATGAAATGATAAAAATTGTAACAATGTATACATGACTGTATTTACCAAGTTTGTTCGTCTGCTGTGATATTGTCGTCTGCTGTGATCTCTATCACTGTTGTATTTTATGTATCAACAGCATCGTCTGGAAAAGGAATTTGTTTTCACTTTTCAGATATTTATGCTAGATTTTAAAGTTAATCTGTTGCTTCATTTTTATTCGTATATTAATAGAATTAGTAAAATCAATACCAAAGATGCGAAAATGATCCTTAAACTTATTCTCCGGTATTTATATATGCCTTATATGGTAAAGGTTTTTGAAGTTCTAGTATTAAGTTAAAAAAAAATTGTATTGCCATTTTTTGTCCTTTTTTAAATGTCTTTATTGTACATTAGTAGGCTGATTCACACAATACCAAGTGCTTCATAATTCTTGTGGAAAAACATAACTGCACTAAAATGTGTGAGAATATTGCAGCAATAATTGTTTTAGAAAACATAATGTACAATTAAGTTAAAATACCATTCTTAGATGACAGGTTTTGAGGAACAACTTTGTTTGACTTGCTGGCAATCTTACAGACGACCATGTCGGCATTTCCTGTTTCATTTAACAGGGTTTCTGGGTCAAGAGTCTTGCCTCTTCTTGCATAATATCTTTGGCGCAAGCGATTTCGAAATCTTGCAAACTGTAAAAGAGTCAATGTTCGTTACTAGTAAAATCATGTTGATGTCTTAGATAGACTGGTATATCGTTCACTTTTGACTGACTGAATAACAAATAGTGAAGACGATTGTGCCGACTAATCTTGGTATACAACGATCACATGGGTAAAGTCTGTAGTCGGCTAATTTTAAATTTAAGAAGTTAATCATTTTCTTATTTGAAAGTTTCTGTAACTGCAAGCAGTTAAATATCTAGCTACTTTCAAATTTAAAAAGTAAATTATTTTCTTTCTGGATACTCTGTAACCGCAAGCAGTTAATTATATGGCTACTTTAAAATTTAAGAAGATCTCATTATTTCTCTTGAAAATTAACGGTACTGCTTAAATATGGACCTTTAACAATCACTGTAATCTTATAGTTATCTTTTCATTTATTATTTGATCATTAATTATCGGATCTATTTATCATGAACGTAATAATGATATAAAAATAATAATCATCATCATCATCGTCATCGTCACCATTACTAGTACTATTACTATTATCATTATCATTATTATTATCATTATTATTATTATTATTATTATTATTATTATTATTATTATTATTATTATTATTATTATCATTATTATTATCATTATTATTATTATTATTATTATTATTATTATTATTATCATTATCATCATTGTCAACATCATCTCCAGATTCATGATAATTTTTATAAAGAGTTAAAAAAAATTGAAATTAAAATATTGTGAAGGGACAAAGAAAATAATTCACAAATTGCAAACGGCATTTACAAGCCGCGTAAATTATCTAAAAGATGTCAAAATATTCAAAAGCAGCCCTTACTGCGTTAGTCACGGAGAAGAAATATGGTGATAAATTCTGCCAACTAGTTATTAATCGCATATAACATGTTAATTATTACATGAATCTTGAACCTTTTTTTTTCTTAAAATCACAGTACATTTCACAAGTTTAATTTCCTTGAAATATTTTGTAATTCCTTTTGCCTAATTTATTCACAAAGAACTCTAATTTAAACATTTTAATTGAATGTTTCAATTCTTTAATTCCACTCACCCTTTCGTTGCAGGATTTCTTTAAACTTATGAGCCAAACACAACAGCCTGGATTTTCACTATCCATTAATTATCCATTATTTAACCATTAATTAACAGTTTGTGTAATTTTCCGGACGCAATATGACGTTGCTATGAGTAATGAGTAACGTCAACTTCTTCTGTGACGTCACAACGATGCGTGTTAATGTCTTCCCTTAAATCAAAGCATCACCGAATACTCGTTAGTAACGGGAAACGTTCAAACATTCGGAACACCTCAGGCGTCTGTAATAACTCATTATGCTAAGTATGACTGAGTTGTTACGATTGTTTTCAAAGTGAGGCACTTGGCCGATAACCAGTAACAGTTTTCTATTCAGTTTTATTCGAAGTTTGACGATAAAGGCCGAAAACATGCGAAATGTGGCGAAGCTTCGACGGATCAAGGCCATTTTGTCGACGAAAACTGCATAAAACCACATCGATTTTCTTAAAACACCATTTAATTTTATATAAATGTTTAAAATGCTAAAAACTTACCCTGTGATGAACTGGATCTGAATATCTGGATTTGCGGAAATTCACATATATTTCAACGATCCTGAATTTTGAGATCCTTATGTGTCTGCAGAAGTCACTCTTATCTCTTGAATTCGTCGTCCTGTGGGCAACTTGTGCTTTGCAGATGCTAATGCGCCAAAAATGGTTCAATGAACCACTGCTTATAACGATAGATGACACAAATATTGAACAATTACACAACAAACATTAAATGCACATTTCTCTCAGTATTAGCAACCCACGCCTTTCGCCTCAGGTGTTTTTTTTTTCTGATTTGGGTTGATTATATGCACTATAACCATGAGATACATGTGTTATTTTTTTATTTTACCGAACCAACATCTTAATATAGTGTGGTTCCCGTCTTACTATAAACTTTAGTACTATTGAACGAGAGAAAAGGGCAGGTAATCCAGACTACATTTTAAAATAGTAAGTAATCGCTTACATGAACAGAGCTGCAAGGGGAGAGAACTATATCATCTATAAAGATTACTCGCCCCTGTGGAATATTGAAAACTTTGTGACGTCACATTAGGCATACATGATGAGGTATGATAATGAATAACTTATTAACCAGTATACTCAAAGAAAATAACATGTTATTTGTATCATAGTTTGGGGACCTTTCTGTTGAAAATGTGTGTTTAAATCGTATACATACACATGCACAGTGCGTTAATAACTGGAGTGCAGGTATTAGTTACCCGCACTTCAGAGCATGTCCATTGATTGGCTCATTTTTGCTGGGGTTTACTTATTGTGACGGCAGAGAAAGGGAAAGCGACAGAAATATCATATTCCGATGCTCGTTCATTGGTTCCTTTTTTATCCGGGGTTTCATATTGTGACAACAGGGAACGTGTTTTTATGTTTTACTATGATACATAAGACAATGAAAGAGAAAGATACTAAAATAGGTCATTAAAACTATGATACAATATGATGCAATTAATTATTCTTGTCAAAATCAATATGATCTGCTTTGAATGAGATTGACCGCCAAATATAACGATTATAAGCCTAATGGCCCAATTAACAGTTATATACAGTACTGTTTTACTAGCACGTTAATGTATAAGACTTAGATTGAAAAAAATCACTTTTTATGTTTTGTTTACTTGACTTATATTTAACAAAAAACTTAGTTTCAAATCCTTCTTTATAAATATTACCAAAGAATAAATATTTCGTAAAAACAAAGTAATATTTCGTAATTACGAAATAATATTTCGTAATAACGAATTAATATTTCGTAATTACGAAATAATATTTCGTAATAACGAATCAATATTTCGTAATTAAGATTTTATATTTCGTTAAAACGAAATACTATTTCTAATTGGGAATTTTTATCTTTTAAAAACGAATTTTATTCAGGGAGACAATGTGGAAAATGTCACTTCAGGTGTTCCGTAATATTCAACATTATTTGTAGCTATGATTGTTTTAAGTCGTTCATTTTGTTTTCATATATTTTGCACTAATTATGGTATTTATGGTTTAAAATTTATATTTAAAAATCAAAAAATTATATTGAAATGTCAAAAAATGTCATTTCAATGCCATAAAGTTTCAATGATAAACACAACACAAACCGAGACAAAATGTGTTTTAAAATAGATACTGCAAACCCCCGCCCCCCCCCCCCCAAAAAAAAACCAACAACAACAAAAAAAACAGGTATTAAAAAAGGCAAGAGTGGGAATCGGACCATAGACCTCTCACACATCAGTCAATCACTTAACCGGCTGTGCTACTGAGGAAGTAGCGACGTTTATATTTTTAGCAGATATGACTTTCAATAATATTAGTTTTATAGTTTTTTATTTTATGCTTTTCAGTGGATTACTGATTTATCCGTGAAAATTAT